CTGTCAGGGCTGGAAGGGACCTCCAGGGATCATCCAGTCCAACTCCCCCTCCAGCAGGACCCCCTGGAGCACATCCCACAGGGCTACATCCAGGGGTGAATATCTCCAGAGAAGGGGACTCCACAGCCCCCTGGGCAGCCTGTCCCAGGGCTCTGTCACCCTCACAGCCAAGAAGTTTCTCCCCATCTTTCAGGGGCACTTCCCATGTTCCAGCTGGTGCCCGTTGCCCCTCGCCCTGTCCCTGGGCACTGCTGAGCAGAGTCTGGCTCCATCCTCCTGCACCCACCCTCAGACACGTGTAGGCAGTGATCAGGTCTCCCCTCAGCCTTCTCTTCTCCAGGCTGAACAGCCCCAGCTCCCTCAGCCTTTCCTCAGCAGGGAGATGCTCCAATCCCCCAGTCATCTGTGTTGTCCTCTGCTGGACTGTCTCTAGAGGAAGGGAGAAGAAGCACCTTTTCATGCTGGCCATGCACCTCATCCCACCTGTCCCACCTTTGCTGTGGAGCTGTGGTTACAAGGCTGGTTCCCATTCATTAGAGGACGTGTTTAATTAGCTATGCAATGCATTTATGCCTCAGAGCAAGTTCCTTTCCAGCACACAGTGCAGGAAGATTTTAACTCAATCAGAGAATAAAATTTTTATGAACTGGGACTTAAACACTCAAGTGCTGTAATGTGCTTTCAGCTAATTTCTTCTTTAAATACAGATAATGAATCCACTTCAGTTTGTATTCAGATAGGAAATGTCATTTCTTCTGTATGAATGCAAGTAGCTACATCAAATGGGTGACTTGTACAATTTGGTCATGGCTTAGACATGTTTTAAACTAGACAGATAAGGTTATATTGATGTATTCATAAATGAATTGGAGCATTGGGCTGTGTATTGGAGGGAAAAATAATTCATAAACCCCTTTTTAGTGATGGTAGAAATCTTTATTCACAAAAGCCCTTGTTTTAAAAGCTGACACAGCAATCACGGAATCACTAAGGTTGGAATAGACCTTGAAGATCATCAGGTCCAACCCTGTGAAAGCCAGATGGGACACATGAAAGATCATGAAATGCTTTTGTGCTTTTGGAATAATCAAATCCCAATGATCTACGTGGCCTTGGTTCCCAGGCTTTGGCAGGAGGCATCAGGCTGGAGTTGGTCTGGGAACACCTGAATATTCATGTGGGAAAGCACATCAGTGTTTCATGACAGTCTCGTGGTGCTGTTCAGGAAAAAATCATTTGAAAAAAAACAAACCCAACCCTTAATAAATGAGATTACTGCTCAGGACTTCAGCTCCATTGAGCTCCTGGGGAAAAAAACATCATGTTTTATAGGACATATTTGGTTTTGTTATTTCATAGCAATTTAACCCATTGTTTACCCAAGATTTTTAGGTGCTGAGTCTTTCCAGCAGCTTGCCGTGAAATGGCTGTTATTCCATGAAAATATTGTATTTCTCATACATTGTGTCTCTGACTCACTGTCAAATTCCCTAGCCTTAAAGAGATTGGGTTTGCATGGATCTTGCTCAATATGATAAAGTTTAACACAGTCCATTTTTCTGACAAAGTTTGCTTTTTGTCCACTATAACCAATGGAATCACGGTATGTAAATAGAAGCCTGTGTTACAAAATGGGGGGTTGGACTGGATGATCTTTCAAGGTCCATTCCAACCCCTAAGATTTCTGTGAAAATACAGGAGTTCAGTGTGTGTGTGTGTGTCATCCTGTGCCTGTTCCAATAATGGGATGGGATGAGTGTCCATCAAACCCAGGTGTTGAATGCAGGAGCGTGAGGGGCAGGTCTGCCAGTTCTGCACAGAAAATCTCAGGCAGTGGTTTAGGTATTAGATACTTAAAAATGTGTCTGGTTTGGTGAGGTTTTTTTTAAATGCTGCTTGCCCTTTGGAGTACCAGCATCTTCCAAGTGATGAAGGAGCAGGCTGGTGGAGTTGAGATGACCTGCAGTCTTGCTGTCGCAGGGAACCAAACTGGAGCAGCTGAGGGTGTTTTGCCTGAAGGCTTCAGGTCGTGCCTTTACCTATGGGGAAGGGCAGTGGGACCCTCTGCTCTCCGAGGTGTTTTTTTGTGGCCAGCACTGCCCAAACCCACCCCGTTTGTGCCTGTGTTTTCTGACAGCTGCAGGAAGCCATCAAGGCCGGCAAAGGTGTGACTTCTGCCATCGACCTCTGCCGCCGCCACGGGAACAGAGCACTGGCAGCCCTGGAGCACTTCCCTTCCTCAGAAGCCAGGGATGCCTTGGCCAACATCATCTACGCCATGACCAGGTTCCCCTGACCTGCCCACCCTGGGATGAGCTGCTCTCCCTCCAGGGTGGAACAGCCTGCCCCACGCCAACCTCATCCTCCCATCCCAAGGAAAGAACATGCGCCGGCCGCCGCCACCGCCACCAAAAATTCAGGAGAGGGAGGGGATGATGACAAAAAAAAAAGGTCACAGATGGCTTTTGCTTGTTGTGCCAGAAGCTCACTTGAGGCTGCACCGGTAGAAATAATTAATGAGTCCTGTTTCCGTGACCTCAGCAAATGGACAGGAAACAAGTGGGTATTGATTGGGCCCCGGCGGGGACGGCGCCAGGGCGGAGGCCGGTGGTTTTCCTGCCCGAGGGAGGGATGGAGGGGCGTGAAGATCCAGGTGTCACCAGAAACCTGCTCAAACCTGCCCAGAGAGAGCTGCTGGAGCTGGGAACGAACGTCCCCACTGAGCGAGGGGAAGGGCAGTTTGTGGGGTTAGTTGGGGGTGAATCCTGGCTGGGTCTGCGCGCAGTCCCGTCTCCTCACGCTGTTCTTATGTGTTCAAATGTAAAACTACCCCGTGCCTAATGCTTCCCGTGTCTGAGAAAATGTGTCAAGCGATGAAAATGTAGGAGCTTTAAAATATTTAATCAAATATTAATTTGGCTCTGTTAAGGGCAGTGACTGCCTGGCTTTTATACCGTGCGTATGAAATGCGTCGCTCTGGGTCAAAGGATGAGGCTTTTCCAACTTTCCTACGGGAGGGAATATCCCTTGTTTGGATCAAGCAGTTTGTTTCAACACAATCTTACAGAAAAGAATTTCCTGAGTTTGTGACACTTGCAGTCATTTAAGCCAAATAAGTGTTGATTTGCAAGGCTAGCCCTGGGCCTTTGGCAGAAGGGAGGAAGGAATGCTCCCTTCCGAGCACCATCTTTCACCGCGCTGAATGAGATGCAGAAAATGCTGGAGAACTTTTGAAGCTCAGTGTGTTGAATTCTCCAAGTCCAACTACAGACAGCAGAGAAGGTGTATGAGGAGCCTGCAATTTGAGACCGTCTCTGTTTTGTTCATAGGAGATGATTTTTGTGGTTTGCACGCGTGCAATCCGAGAGCGCCGTTGACAAGAAGGCTGAGTTTACATAAATGATCTAGATTGAGACTCAGCTACCTTTCTTCCTTCTGTGGTGTAATTACAGCCCAATCTGGAGACAGCTAGCACAGCAAACAGATTTCATTACATCGCTCACTCGAACACTAAGTGGAGTTATTTCTGTTGAACTGTCTCCTCCCTTCTCCTTCCCCCCTGTCACACAGCTTGTTTGTCGTAGACCAGCGTGTTGCATTCCTCTGGGTGCAAAATATAAATAAAAACCCTCTCCTCCAAAAATATACTGGAAATACATCCTGCAGAATATACATCATATTCTGTGTAATCTATGCCTACCTGATACCATTGTATTGTATGGATAATAAGCACCCGTGAGACACAGTCTTTGTGTGGGAGCAGCGTCCAGAACTCAGGACTTGGGCTGTTCTTCAGATTGGCTCCAACACCAGACTGCTTCTTGCTTGCACTTGTTTTCTCATGCCTGCCCTGGCATTTTCCCTCTTCCCAAGACTCTGGCACTTCTGCCTGACTTAGAGCTGTTGCCTACAGCAGGAAAGCTGGAGACAGAAGAGGAGCACCAAGCAGCATGTGTTAGTCCAGGCAGTGGCAGGCACAGGCACCTGCCTTGGCCAACCACTGCGCATTTTCACCTGTGAAGTTCCCTGAAGTTCTGCTACCATAAAACATGTACTTGAGAGAAATACCTAAATTCAGCCAGAAGCACACGTCAGCTTTTTTTGGCTCTGCTTAGGAGCCATAAATCATCTTTGTCTTATGGCTGTGCTAAGGGCTTCATAATGATTTAGGGCTACAAGAACCTTGGGTCTGCTGGAGATGTTCTGAGCCATCTCACCTCAGTCACCTCAATTGTGTGAAAAAATACCAAGCATATTGCAAAACTGTAAGCCTGGTTTACTTTGTCATGAAAGTACAATTTTTATTTGTACTTTTACTAATAAAAGCAAATCAGCAAAAAATAATGAGGATTGGTTTTTTTTTTTTATTTTATCACCAGAATGTTCTGATTGCTCTTAAAACTATTTTTTAACCTTAATATTGGTAAGCAACTATTTATTTATAATTATCAAGTAATCTTATATGTAAGATATTTGCCTGTACTTATGGTCTTGTTTCCTGAAGATAAACTGCAAGTATTATTCCCCTCTACCAATCTCTTGGTGAATCAGTCTCTGCTGCTTGTTAACATACTCCCCACACCTGATACAATTTCTGAGTAATGGTGGAATCTTGAGGCTGTTCTGCTTTTATCTCCTTGATTCCTTTTCCCCACTCACCTCTATAAGGAGGTCAGGGAGAGGGAGGCCTGTGGTCTGGGGGTGGCTGAGGAAAGCATTCACACCAGTCATCCAACAGAGATGCCAATCAGCTGCTCCTCTGAACTTAGCCCAGGTATTGCTGGCCCATGGTGCACAAAATACAGGGCAAGGTCCCAGTTGCTTTATAAACCAAACTAAATTCATCTCCTACAAAGAGCACAGCTGCAGTGGCTGGAATGGCTGTTTCAGAGGTCTGAGATGGGAAGCCTTTTAACTGCCAGCCAAGTGTTTCCAGCTCCACAATTGTGGTAACACTGTGTGGGAAGGTTGTTTGGAAAATGAAGTACTTAGCAGAACTGAAATGCTGGCTGGGAGGAGCTGCTGAAAGTCCCCTCATGAAATCTCCCACTTGAAGTAGCCTGTTGCCAACATGAAGTCCAGTTTTGGAAGACACCAGGGATGGAACTTCCACAGGTTCCCATTGCAGCCTATCTCAGTGCTGCTCCACCTTCCTTGTGAGGTTTTCCTGGTGCCCAGCATCAACCCCTCTCCCCACAGCTGATGGCTGTTGCCTGCAATTTACCACCTGTCACTCCTAAGAATTGTTTGGCCTGTCTTGGTAACCACCTGTCCTGCAGCACTTTGTCTGGTAGGCTTCTCCTTCAGGCCAGAGCAGCCCTGGCTCTGTCAGCCTCTCCTGGTGGCCATGGATCCTAGGCCTTCTCCACTGACCTGCATGACTTCCATGCCATCCAAGCCCAGAACAGGCCAGTTCAGGTGCAGCCTCAGGTGGAAGAGAACAAAAATTTAACCTGATCTTCTGTGTCTTTGTGTGATGGAGTTAATTTTCTTCAGAGCATCCCACATGGTGCTGTGTTTTGGATTTGTGACCAAAACAGCACTGCTGACTCACCCAGGTTTTAGCTGTTGCTCAGCAGTGCTTGTTCAGCTCCAAGGAATTCCCTGCTCCTCACTTGGATGCCCAGTGAGGATGGGCAGGGGGCTGGGAGGGGACACAGCTGGGACAGACAACCCCAGCTGACCACAGAGATGTTCTGCACCAAGTAACATCCTGCTCAGCAATAAAACCAGGGGATGGGGTGTGTTTTAAGGGGGTCTGTTGCTCAGAAATGGAGCATCAGTTGGTTGGTGGTGATTGCTTTTGCATCACTTGGCTTGTTTTGGTTTTTTTTTCCCCTCTTACCTATTAAACTGTCTTCCAGTCAGCCCATGACCTCTCTCTGTTGCCTTTCTGATTCTCTCCCCCATCCCACTATGGGGGGCAGTGAGTGCAGCTCTGAGGTGCTTACCTACCACCTTTTTGCCTCTCAGTGTGGGGACATGTAGGGCTCAGGATAAGGAGACGTTTGACTGGAGTGGGCTAGAAGGAACTTACTAGGAATTTACCATCCCTGCTTAGCTGTTGCAGGTCACTGTGTTGACTTATTTGTTCTCCATGCAGGTTTATTTCTTCCCTTACCCTCTCTATGTCATGCTCCTCCTCCTGTACATCACACTGGGGGGCTTCTTACAGGCTGGGTTTGGCTTTTGCAGTGTGCTGTGCTGTGTAGAGAACTATGATGAAAGCACTGGCTCTGAGCCTGGTCTGGTCCTTGGGCCCTGCATTGCTGCCATCCCAGTACTTCGGGAACCATCTCGTGGAGACAATTAACAATTACACCTTTTCCCTCTTCCTCTGTGAGAGAATTTGTGGAGGAAACAAAGAACTGCACCTTCCCCTTCCTCTCCTGCAGGGCAGGTGCTTTGCACCTTGTTTCAGTGACTCCAGTATTTTGAGCACCCCTGGGCAATCAGAATGTTCACACTGCTGTGTGTCTCAAGACACAGACCATCTTCCCCAGGGGTAAACCTGCTGCTGGGATCTCTCCGTTGCTTTTTCTTCTCAGCAGATATTTTGAATTTTCACAGATGCAAAAGGCTAACTCAGGCCACTGTGCCCTGCTGCAGGTTTATCTCGTGGCTTCTGGGTCAGATCACTGGCTGCCACTACTCCCATCAAGTAATTCCATCTCACAGAAAAGGGAGGCATCAAACTTCTCTTTTCTTCTTTGTAGTCTTCGAAGTACTTTTACCTGCACCGAGTCTTAGGAAAAATAAAAAGCTAAAGCTTTTCAGTTCCTGAAAGCAGTTCAAAGGAAAGAATGTTTCCAGTTTTGGAAGTCATCTTTCTGACCATCTTTACATTCTTTTTTCATTATTTTTTTTTCAGAAACCAATCCCTAAAGTGCATTAATTATTTGCATCATTAGCACTTTCACGTTTCTCTTTTAGGATAAGCCTGTGTTTCCAGCACTAGCAGAAAGTGGCTTTTAAGCCAAAATTCTCTCTGCAGGTGTCTTTAAAGCCACCAAAAAGATACAGCAGACTGCCTGCTGGAGGGGTGGAGGGAAGAGGGTGGCAAAGAAATGGGCAGTGGATTCACCAAAGCTTCTTGCCATCACTTGCTCCCCATCTTCACACCCTGGTGCTGGCAGCTCCAGTGCTGCTGCCGAGTTCCTGCCCACGGGCAGAGGAATGAATGCTGGGGCTCCCCAACCTGTCGGACATCCCTGCTCTGCAGCCCTGGCACTTGCCTTTGATTCCTTTCTGTTTGCAAACTGCTTTTGTCAGGGTGCAGCTCTTGAGGAAAGGGAG